TTCCATTGTGGTTGCACCAGTCTGCATTCCCAACAAAATAAACTGATGAACAAAATAGATCCAGAGACATGGAAACATGCAACAGACTGAAGAATCTCAGAGGAAAGGGGGTGGGGGGAGTGGGCAGGAAGATTAACTAAATAACTTATATGCATTTTTGCATTACCCATGGACACAGACAATAATGTAGTGAAGGCCTGGGGAGGCGGTGGAGGGGTGGAGGGCATCAATGGGGAGAAAAAGGGAACATCTATAATACTTTCAAAAATAAAAATAAATTTAAAAATATGTGTAAAACTGCGTGTAAAACTGCGAATTTCATTTCGGAGAAAAAAAGGGCACCATAAAATGTATTTTAAAAAATGGCTGGTGGTGGAGGGAAGGATATTGTGTCTCACTTGGTTGGCCTTTGACATTTCTAAATACTTTTTCTCAACCTATTACCCATTGGTTAACCTTGTCTATATTATACAATGTTGTTGTTTTTGTGTGAAAAAAATAGCTTCATTAATCTCGGCTGGCTTGACTCAGTGGTTGAGTATTGACCTATGAACCAGGAGGTCATGGTTCAGTTCCCGATCAGGGCACATGCCTGGAATGCAGGCTCCATCCCCAGTGTGGGGCATGCAGGAGGCAGCCAATCAATGAGTCTCTCTCATCATTGATGTTTCTATCTCTCCCTCTCACTTCCTCTCTGAAATCAATAAAAATAGATTTTAAAAAATAGCTTCATCTACACTAATAAAAGAGAAAAATGGTAATTGGCGTACGACCGCTGCCCTTCCCATTGGCTAATCAGCGTATCCTTATGCAAATTAACTGTCAGCCAAGATGGCGGCCAGCAGCCAGGCAGTTGGAAGCGAACATGAGGCTTGCTTGCTCCAGTGACTGCAGACTCCAACGTTCCCCGCCTGACTTGCCGGCCTCTGAGCTGGCAGTTTGAAACATTCTAACAAATATAGCCGGCTGGGATCTCAGAGCTGAAGTTATACATTGTTTCGATTATAGAACTGCAAACAAACCAGCAGCAGAAGCCTCAGAGCTAGAGCCAGAGCTAAAGCTGGCCCAGAAGAAAAAAAGGAGTGGTTGGGAGCTTCCCACCAGCCTGAAAGCAGTCAAAACCGCCAGCCTGAAAGCAGCCCTCAGCCCCTCACCCAGACTGGCCAGGCACCCCAGTGGGGACCCCCACCCTGATCCAGGACACCCTTCAGGGCAAACCAGCCGGCCCCCAGGCCTCTATCCTATATAGTAAAAGGGTAATATGCCTCCCAGCACCGGGATCAGCGGAGCCGCAAGGCCTCCTGGCACCAGATCAGCATGACAGGGTGCAGCGCCCAAACCCCCTGATCGCTCTGCGGCTCTGTGTATGACAGGGTGTGGCATCCCAACCCCCTGATCAGCCCTGCTCTGTGTGTGACAGGGGGTGGCACCCCAACCCCCCCCCCCCACGGGCCCTGCTCTGTGTGTGACGGGGTAGAGCCATAACCTCCCCATCGGCCCTGCCCTGAGTGTGACAGTGGCATCGCCCCAACCCCCTGATCCGCCCTGCTGTGTGTGTGACAGGGGGCGGTGCCCTAACTCCCCTATCGGCCCTACTCTGTGAGTGACAGGGGGGAGCTCCCCAACCCCCTGATGGGCCCTGCTCTGTACGTGACGGGGGGGGGGGGGGAGGGGGCACTCGCCCAACCCCCTGATTGGCCCTGCTCTGTGTGTGACAGGGGGGCAGCACCCCCACCCCCCTGATTGGCCCTGCTCTGTGCATCACAGGGGGGTGGCGCCGCAAACTCCCCATTGACCCTGCCTTGAGTGTGATAGGGGGGTGGTGCCCCAACCCCCCCAATCAACCCCCCCCTGAGTGTGACTGAGGGTGGCATCGCAACCTCCCAATCCACCCTGCTCTGAGCATGACAGGGGGCGGCGCCCCAACTCCCCAATTAGCCCTGCTCTGAGCCCGACCAGGGGCTGCACCTAGGGATTGGGCCTGCCCTCTGCCACCCGGGAGCAGGCCTAAGTCAGCAGATCGTTATCTCCGAGGGGTCCCAGACTGTGAGAGGGCACAGGCCGGGCTGAGGGACCCCCCCCCCCGAGTGCACAAATTTTTGTGCACCGGGCCTCTAGTTTAAATATATAAAAGCCTTGTAGTTAAAAAATAAAATTTCAATAAGTGTTATTGCTTAACTTTTAAAAATTTACACAATCAGAAATATATTAACACAAAAAGACCCATAGGTAACCAACATTCACAGATATGTGTACACTTAAACATTTATTATATCTATTTGAACACGTGTATATTTTAAGGAATCTT